ACCGACCCCTGAGGCACCCCACATGTTAGGGGTCTAGGAGTCGACCTCTGTCCCCCTGCCAATACAGACTGCGTACGGTCGGTGAGGAAGGAGGAGAACCACCGCATAACAGTGCCTCCCACTCCTAACTCACCGAGACGCCGCAGCATGATACCGTGGTCCACGGTATCAAAAGCCGCTGAGAGGTCCAAAAGAACAATGTGCATGTTTTCAGCTAAGTTTTAAAAGAAGAGAGTACAGAAGCTAGCTGAATTTCCCTTGGAATTGAGATTAAAGGCACTGAGATTATTTTTTATCTTTGCTAAAATTTACATGAATTTAGATGCAATGTGGCAGAGCCTACATTTTCATTTCTGCTTCTGTTCTTCACAGATAACTTGGATGGTGATAGTTTAATAATTAGTTTACTTATTAAGAATATTGGAATTGCAATGTGCAATTAATCATATTGGGAGTTCATCTTAGCATATGTATGTGTGTGTGTATATATATATATATACACGAAATCTACGAAAACAAATATATATATAAAGTTCTTACAGAACAATCATAAGAATAAATACTAAAATAAATAAATGAAGCTTAATTGCAGAGTGAATGTATTTAGAATTTCAGGTTTGCAATGTAAAACTTTATATGCTGAAAATAATGGATAGGATTGCAACCTTAAATATTTCTGTTGTTTTTAAATTGGAGAATATTTATTTATTAAATGTATATGCTTGTATACTCACTACTATTAACTATGTTTTTATTGTAGTCCAACCTTAGCCCCTTCAATAGAAAAAAACCATTTATCAATTATAAAAATTCAGAAATTCCCAAGGATAAAATCTGTGAAGCTGATGAAGCAGTGAGCATTACAATGGGCTATTTAGATAAATCATTTCATACAGAAATAGAAGATACATCTGAAAATATCATGAATAGTAGAGGAGAGGTATAATATTGTCAAGATAATTTTGACTTTTTTTGGTAAATTGGTTTTATCTAATATAATTCTGTTGTTGTTACTAACTTAAGTTCAGTTTAAATGTGTTTCTGGTTTAATAGTTTAATCCAGAATTGCTCTTTTATAAAGAAAAACATCCTACTTGTCTTATAACCATTCCTTTGTTCTATATTAAAAAGAATGATTTCCTTTTTATCTTTGAAATGTAAAGGCATATTTTTATGAATGTCAAATTATTAAAAACCAAGCGTCGAATAAAATCTTATACATGTATTCTGATGTATATTAGAAGAATCTAAATTATTAAAGAGAAAAAGTCTCTACGTTGATTAATATGTCATTATTTTTAGGCTTCTTTACCTCCATCTCAGTTAACCACGCCTTGCAGAAGCAGAGAAGGATTACAGCATGAAGAATGTCTTATTGATGTACACGAATCTGGTATAGTTTCATAAAAATTATAAATACAGATTTTCCACAATTATACAGAGAATGGAAATCTCTATGTTTATGGCAATGTGCAGGCTAGTTATTTTAAAATACTGTCTTTTTTGCTAAAATTTTAAACTGTCCAGAGTCATTTAGAAAGTGAGATGGACATTGTATAAATCTGATTAGTAAATAAATGAATAAAATAGACCAGTGATGGCAAACCTTTTAGAGACCGAGTGCCCAAACTGCAACCCAAAACCCACTTACGTATCATCAGGTGCCGGGTGGGCGTGGCCCATTGGGTGAGCGTGGCTGCGGTGGTAACGGCAGACTGGGTGGGACTAAAAAAGTTCAATCAATCAATTCCAACTTTGCAAGATCTTTTTTTTCCCTGTGAGAAGTTGAAATTGACTGATTGATTAAACCTTTTTTTTTTGTACACGGCGGCGGAGGCCTAAAGTGAAAAGGTTTTATAAAACCCAGCTGAAGGCCTAGGACTGGGGCGACGGTGCGCGTGCCCACAGAGAGGGCTCTGAGTGCCGCCTCTGGCACCCGTGCCATAGGTTCGCCACCACTGAAATAGACATTCTTACCGTCCCAATTTTCTTTATTATTGCTAATCACTGCATTATCCATGGAGACCGTTTCTCGTTATAATATTGCCCATTCGCCTCCCTTCCAAAATACGTCTTGTTGTACTGCCGCTGTAGTTTTTAGTGGACTTTTCATTACCGAGAAGGAAAAAAAAAAATCAGTGACAGTTTTCCTGAGGTGTTTTGAACATTATTTGGAGACATCCTCTTCAGGATGTCTAAAATGTGCAAAGCAGCATTGTTACTATTTTTATAACATGTGTTTAAATATAATCTTATTAAAGGACCTACAATACATCCTAATTTCAAACGACTGTATCAGGAAGATACAGAAAATTACTCTGATG